TCAAGCAATATGAGGTAATTAGACACGATTAATCAAGGGCCCATTCAATCAATCACCATACAAAACGTAGTTGAACAATCATATAATAAATCTGGCTCGATTATAACAAGTTGAGTCAAAACTTCAACCAACAATTGGTTCCATCAACCCTAGATAATTGTTTAGCTACTCATAACAAAATAAAATAAAACTACAAAGTTGTTCATAATGTATAATTGCAAGAATTAAAAGGAGATATAAAAACTCTAATGTTTGGTTGATCTTCTCACACTTTTCCTTGCCTCCAAAGTAGTCTAAAAACAAGCTTAATTATGTCTTGGGCGAGCTTCTAAAGTTTATAAGGGTTTGGAACAAGTTTTCACCGAATTACACTTTGGTCCCCAATTTTTTGGCAATTGAATAGTTTACCGCGGATGCGTCAAGACTGCGGCGCGACCGCGGTAAAGGCTGAACATTATGCCTCGCGTAATTGTCTGCCGCAGTTAAACCGCGGTTCCACCGCGGTCGCGGTGGATTTCACCTTAGTCCATTTTTGCTTCTTTATGCCCGAGTACTTCTTGATTGGGAGTTTTCTTCACATTATTGACTCCAAAACACGTCGTAGTGCTTCCTCACTTTGATTATTCCCTGCGAAGCAAAACACCAATTAGAGAATTTTGTTATCAATTCGCCTATAAAACAACAATAAAGCATAGTAATATTAAGGTGTAAATATCATCTATATAGCCTAATATCAACACCCCACACTTAAATCATTCCCAGTCCTCTAGCAATCTACCACACTCTATCAAAGTTCCTTCCCTAAGCTTTTCTCTTAACGAATCACAGTTTGAACAATTTACCAAAGTTGCACCTAGTAGTGAACAACCTTTGCCTCAGAAGTCGAATCTCTTGTACCATGCAATATTCGCACTTACTCAAACTACTCTATACAGAAGTCAAGACTTACCTTTCCTTTGTGAATCACATGCCCTCACATCACACAAGAGAGTAGTTCCACAAATAATATGATTAAAAACAATTAGGAACTCAGATGGACAAAATTCGCTCACTCTCCGAAAGAACATTCACATGCCACAAAGATGCATATAGTGTAATACTCTACTAATCGAGCCTATCCAATCTAAGATCAATTAGGACATTATTTGGTTGTAATGTAGGTTAAGAGATGGGTAGGATATATTTGGATATAGTGACTAATATCCCTAAGCACTTTTAATACAAAACACATTAACATTCCATATCATTCTTATGTCAACCAGACATTCCTTACAATTTATTTATAACATCCCATTCCTTTAGGTGCATTTGTATCCAGCTACCACTTATCAACTACTACATTTATTCACAAAAATATTATTTTTTTTATTTTTTATTTTTTTTCGTGGCGCTTCTTCTTTTATTCTTCAAAACTGCACCTTTCCTCTATTTCATTGGCTCCACTCAAAACCAAACAACCACCCCACACTTTAATTTTTACATAAGTCAAGGCCATTCAAGTGCCCATGGGAGGTAAAAGGGTTCAAACAGAAGGCTATTCAAACAATTGGGTAAGGTTCGCAATGTGGTTGCCAAAGAAACAGGCTTATAGGCTCAACGGGGTTGACTACGATATATTATATTCAGGTGGGTTTACGTTATATATCTGGCTTAACAAAGAAATGCCCATATCACTTCTAAGACTGAATAAAGCTACTATTTCGCTTTGCAAACACACATGGCAAGTTCTAGGCATCAAATTTAAAGCATGGAATACAATATAACTCACACACAGATGACATATGACTCACTCTGGATTGATTTATCAAGACATTCTCTTTTGAGTGTTCAAGTCAGCAACAAACACCAACTTTTACGGCACTTTAGCAAGAGTCAACCATTGAGACTAGGCGTTACACTCTAGTGTCGATTGTGTTCAGGTGCATTAACGCCATGGGATTCTCTTTCTATTTCAGCTTGTAGCCCATCAATGCTAACCAAACTAAAAAAACAAAATAAACAAAAACTACCTACACCCGGTTCAAGCTAAACCTTTGGAAAAGAACCGTGGCCCAAAGAAAAACCAAGGGGGAGTTACTACACTACCTACAAATAAAATAAAAAATATTTTTTGTATTTTCTCTAGACTAACTTCCCTCAAGAAACTATCTCAAATATCCGCCATCAAGAAGAGTCCTTATATTCTTTTTTTTGTTTGACTCATGTCCCTCAAGAGACCTATCGAAAGGTGTCTGTCGTTGGGCCAAGTCGAAGTTAATTACATGATCCTACCATACCAATCAATCAAAAATAAAGCAACATCATACAAAGTTACACAATCTTTTTACAACAACATCATACAACAACAACCATCCCCCACCCCACACTTAAAAATATGGTATGTCCCCATGTCAACAAATAAAGAGTAGAGTAAGGAAGGGGGACTTCCCTGAAGATCAATCCTGATCAGAGACAGTGCCAGGATCGAGGTGACATGTTTGTCCTAGCGCTCGAAGCCATCTTCTCCGACTTTGCCTATTGAATAGTCAGAGTGTCAACTCTGGTGCCCAATTTTGTGACAGAAGTGCGGAGACCAGCCATTTCCTGCTCCAAGGCTATCAGGCGGGTACTTCGGGGGGGGGGGGGGGGGGGCTGTGATGGGCCCGCCTATTCAACTCTCGTAGGTGGTGGGACCTCAGCTGTCTCAACATCATCATCATCAGATTCATCATCCGATTCATCAACATTCACCACCGGCTCTATCCCAACTTTGATTTTTCTTGCCAGGAACAGGGCTTTCAGTGGCAATTTCCCATTAACTCTAAGGTTTTTAGGGACGCTAGCAAGACGGCACAGCTTGGTGACTAGAGAAGGGAAGTAGAAGCCTTTGAGTAACTCAGGTGATCTAATGAACATCTCGTCATGGAGGAGTCGGGCCACATTGTCATGAAATAGTAGATCGATGTTGCTCCTGGTTAATTGACATCGATCATATTGCTGGAGGGCAACAGCCGAGTGTTGATAATTGTGAGCCAACACTTAGCCTCACAATTGAGAGACTGGGAGTTAGGTGTGATCCGGTGCTTTATCCATATGTATTCTCTTTTTGGCACACAAATAGTCTCAAGAAGAGTTTCCCACAAGGCACTTGTTTGGCTATAAGTACGATAAACATCAACTTCCTCCCTGAACACTGGCACCCGATACACCCTGCGGATGGCCTCGATGGATGCATTTACTCGGGTATTGCATACAGTAACAATCCCATTCTCATGTTCCAGGCAGTTAGGTAGAATTCCCTAACCACCTGAACATTGGATTCCTTCGGTTCCTCAAAGAAGATGTCCAGCTGACACCTCCTTAACTCATTGGAGATATTCGGGCATTCCACCTCAAAGGCTTCTCGGTCAATATGGACCTCATGTAATAATTTCTTAGCTGCCTTTGCATTGTACCTATCTTCCGCCGGTTTGGAGACAAACCTAGTGCTGTCAAACTGTGGCGCACTAGCTTGACTCCAAGCTCTCGAGGATCTTCCCGGTCCACTAGCGGAGGACCTGGTGTTGCGTCTCTTCCTAGATGGATTCATTTTGCTTGTCAAACAGAGAAACGCCTATCAGTGAGGGTGTGAGATGTGTGAACTATGGGTAGTTACTTAGAATTTATCACATCCATGTCACATTAGCCTTTATAGCTCTATTGGGGCAATTCCACAAACGCTTTGTGGGCAAAATAATTTCTTAACACATATAGCCCATATGGATATATCAAAGCTTCCCCCAAATCAAAAGTGGTACTACACCAATCCCCCCACAACAATTAGTTCAACACCCACAAACATACACCTCTCCACCACATTATACATATAATCCCTTAACAAGCACCCACCAAGACAAAATTCAAAAGAAAAAGAACAAAAAGAAATCTAATAGAAATATTACACCATTACAACATTAAACTACATAAAAACTAAAATAAAATACAAAATATGAGGTAAGGGAGAAGAGACATACCTTGATGGAAGAGAGAATGAAAGGAGTGGGGATGGGGGAAGTGTGAGGAGGGAAGAAGAAGAAGAAGACCGGAGGGATTTGGGAGTTTAGGGTTTAGAGAGAGAGAGAAATTGGGAGAGCGAGGGGGAGGGTCAGTTATTTTGATGAAAGAAGAAGGGGGGGGGGGGGGTT